CGGCGGGCGCTGGGGCCTGGGCCGGGCTCCGCCGCCTCCCCCCGCGCTCTGCGGGGGCCCCTGCCCGCCCTGTGGGAGGGGAAAATTCGGTCCCGGGTGGGCCGCAGCGGCCGCAAATGGCACCTGCGTGGGTTGAAGGGGAGCATCCAGGCTCCTACCTTGTTTTCGGCCGAATGTTTCCAAGGTGAAGCAGCAGCAGAAAGGCCGCTGCAAGAAGAAAACCAGACTCGAGAAAATGGCCCTTTTAGGTTGTTTTCCTAAAAACAGCAAACCAAAGCACTATTCCGGCCTCTAAAAATCCTCCTATGGTACCGACCCTGTATCGGAGGCACATCTCCTGTAACGTACGTCGTGCCCACTCTCCCGTGGAGCTGTGGCTGACAGCAGGGGAGTGTCAGGGCGAGGGCCTGAGGTACCAATCTGACACTGAAACCCTCCCTAACAGCCTCCGGCTTTTAATGGAGAGATTTCTGGAGCCAGGCTTTCCATTGAGCAGCTGTGGCGTGGGGTTGGAAGCCAGTTAAGTTTGCTGGCAGAAGGCGCTTCTCTCAGGATGCTGAGTAACACTCTTTGTCATTTGCGTGGACAGAGCTGGGGTGGACAGAGTCCATACCCTATCTTGACAGGCCTCCGTCCCCGCTGGAGTTTTATCGAGAATGGGTGAGTCCGAATAAGCCCTGTATAATTCAGAATGCCATCAGCCACTGGCCGGCTCTGAGGAAATGGACCTCAGCGTACCTCAGGTATGAACGAGCTTTGGAGCAGGACTGGTGGTCAGTTTCGGTTGACCTCAGTAAAAGGCCCTCGGTTGATCTTTGCTTTTATCCATAAGATTAGCCCAGGTTCCTCCGTGCTTCTGTATTAAGGTGTTCAGTCTTGCCAAGCTCACGTGTAAATTTCTTCCTGCGAACTGACTGTCCTCACCAGTTCCCATGCAGTCAGGAGGGTGAGTGTGCTGACTGGGTGCAGCCAACAGACTCCAGCTGTCGAAACCCAGTCTGATCGCGGTGCTCTGGCCAGTGGTCCACCCTGTAGCCTCCCAGTTGGAGTGGGGCTGTAGCGCCATAAAGAGCAGACTGACTTGTTTGTGGCTGAGTACACCGTGTTTTCTAGGAAGAAAAACAAACGATGAGCATTTTAACAATGATTTTTTTCCTTTAAAAAGCTCTTTTTTGAGGGGATTTCTGGTTAGACCTAAAATCTATGGGTTTAAAATTAAATTTCTCACAGAAATAAGGGCTGTTAGCCTCACAATGTGAGTGTCTGTCAGTCTCCGCCTGCCCTTTCTCCCTCCTCCATTGCTTTTGAACATATGGCCACCCAGATTTGGCTGGGTTGAGTGGTCCCAAGAATACCAAGTTCTGCCATGACTCATGAAAAGAAGTGGCTGAAGAGGGCCCTCTGCACAGAGGGAAAAGGAGCTCATTTGTGAACTCACCTGTTAGATAGAAGAGAATTTAGAGAGGCAAAAGATACTATGGTAGCCTTGACCACAGGCAGCAATCAGAGCAGAATGCCAGAATCCTTACCAGAGAGTAGAAAATCTAGTTGAGATGCCCATCTGTAGAAAGCCAGGCTTCTTATGTTTGCTGTCCATGAAACATGTTGTTTTTGAAGTAACCAGTGTCCAATATATGGGGCAATTGCAGGTCTGGCTGTAAACCTTTGATTTATTTTGCAGGGAGGTGGTAGGTCCCAAGGTGGTGAGTGTGGCAGTAACACCAAATGGTTATGCAGATGCGGTGTTTCAGGACCGTTTTGTCATGCCAGAGGAGCGCCAAATGCCTTTCATGGACTTTTTGGACATTGTGGAGAAGAAAGTGACCTCTCCCAATGTATTTTATGTGCAGAAGCAGTGCTCAAACCTCACCAAGGAGTTCCCTGAACTTGTCTGTGATGTGCAGCCTGACATACCATGGATGAGCGAGGCACTTGGTAAGCATTCTGTTTCTCCTGTGTTCAGTAAATATTTTGTACGGAGCTTTAAAGCAATCATGCTAGGTACATGGTGAATGTTTGTTGCATTTCTGGATGCCGCAGCTCAGTTTGGTTTCATCCCCTTAGAAAATAGAAGTGGTAAAATACTTAATAGAGTAGTCCAGGTTTTGGGGTTGGATTACTCCATAATCAGTATCTTGGCTGTGCATTGGGACCATCACAACTGAAACAATGTGGTGATAGTGCCGTATAGCACTTCTTTTCATATAGTGGCTTTTCTCTTATTTAGAGTCATGTTTCAACTCGGATTCATGCTGTTGCTACCAAAGGTAGGATAACAAACGAGTGAAACAGCACACAGCCCCCACCCACTTTGGTAAAATTACAGATGTTTGTTTCTAGTTAAATGCTGTCCTGTTTCAGTTGGTTTCTATTTTACAGCATGTCTTTCCTTAAAATGTCAGTGATTTATTGTGATTTCACCTTCTTTTTGCAACTGTATGTAGACATGCTGCAGTTTCTCTGTGAGCTAAGTCTTAGGGATTCAGAATGTGGAAACAAAGGGTTGTAACCATCGATTTGGGGACGGATAATACTATGTCATGAAGTCTGATGGGCACTACAGTGGCTTCCAGTATAGGAGGAGGTTGCTGTTGCTCGCAGAGTGCTATTTGCAATGCAACCTATCATAGTTATGAAGGAAGTTAAAGGATAGAATTTGGCAGAAATTGGCAGAAAATTATTTGAAACTTCTAAAAAAGACACTTCAAATTCTTTTTTTGTTGACAACGTTTCTCTGTTCCCTAACCATACAGGGAGGAAGCCTGATGCTGTGAATTTCTGGCTTGGGGAATCAGCTGCTGTGACATCTCGTACGTATTGTATGGCACTGTACTGTGTGCTTTCCGTACATGTTTAAGCAGACTTGCTTTGAGTTAGCGGCTCAGTAGGACTGTGTGTTTTTTCTGACAAGGCAATTCTACTTTAGCATGCTTTTTTACATTCTTTCTCCTGCACTTCTGCAGCCTCTTGCTGCTGTGTCTCTTGGTGCATCTACCTGCCATTGTGTCAGGCAAGGCACTGACAGTTTGCTTCCTTGAATACATTTGCTACAACATTATATTGTTAATTTCCTACTGGCTGCAAGAGGAGGAAGCTGTCTGGTAATAAGAGGACAAGCTGACACTTCCAGTTTACTATAGTTTCTGATGTAGAAAAGGAAATAACACTGATTTTCTCTCTTTCTCCACATCTCTTTTTTTCTCAATCCTAGTACATAAAGATCATTATGAGAACTTGTACTGTGTGATATCTGGAGAGAAACATTTTCTACTGCATCCACCGAGTGACCGTCCCTTCATCCCATATGGTACATAGTTTACTATGCAGTTTGTCTGGAGGTTGGAAGGAGGAGAGACTAAAATATTGAAAAATATCAAAACAGAAGCAGAGATAACATTTTGATGTTTATGCAGCATTAGGCTTTCCAGTGTGAACAGAAATCTCTTCTCTTTTGTGCTGAAGGTAGTTTGTAATACAAACATTATTCTGAGGTGAGGTTTTCCTGTCCTGTAAGGTAATAGGTTCACTGATACTCACAGCAGCCTCTTCAGCTTTAGAATATTTAAATTATTTAAGTATCTTGTCAGTATTGTAGCATGTCGTCTTTGGTGTTTAACAGGTTTGTATTCTGCCTGCTCATTCTTTTCTCTAGGAAAAAAAACAGGAAGCTGAAAAATAAGTTGTAATTTAATGAAATATTCAAGTTACTACTTAATCTCTGAAAACTGGAGAAATGAAAAGAGATTCTTATGGCAGCATTACTTCACACTGCCTGTTTTCTGTTTCTTTATGTTGCTTTCCTGTGTGCACAGTAGTAGTTTGTTATGTTGCAGTGTCATCTAAAAGATGGACAGCTTAAGTTTATGCCTCATAAGATAAGATTTTATTTTCCCATTCCTTGACTTTCAAACCATCAGATTAAGTGAATGCAGAGTGCTATATGACACTGGTACATTTTTGCCTAGATACATGCACTGCTACCGTATTTTGTTTATACTGGTTTTGTTTTGTTTACAACCTTAAAATCACAGAATCGTAGAATGGTTTGGGTTGGAAGAGACCTTGAAGATCATCTAGTCCATTCCACATGCCATATACTAGATCAGGTTGCTCAAAGCTCCATCCAACCTGACCTTGAACATTTCCAGTGATGGGGCATCCACAACTTCTCTGGGCAACCTGTTTCAGTGCCTCATGACCCTCATCGTAAAAAATGTCTTCCTTATATCCAATCTCAATCTACCCTCTCTCAGTTTGAAACCATTGCCCCTTGTCATGTCACGACAGGCCTTGGTAAGAAGTCTTCCTCTGTCTTTCTTATAAGCCCCCTTAATATTTTGAAAGGCTGCAGTAAGGTTTCTCCAGAGCCTTCTCTTCTCCTGGCTGAACAACCCCATCTGTCTCAGCCTTTCTTCATAGGAGAGGTGGTGTCATATGTATGTGAATGTATAAAATACATGTATGTCATATGAGTCATACTTTGTAAAACAAGTTACTGTTAAAGCATAGAACAGAGATAATGCGTACATTTTATAGTGTGTAGTAAAAAGATGACTCCATCTTTTTGAACATCAGGTTAATGGAGAGAAATTCTCCCAAGGGAGGGCTTAGAAAACCGCATGTGCTGAAGCAATGAAAGAAAAGCAACCTGCGGTATCCAGAGCATTTGATGAGCCCTATTGGATAACTAGTAACTCTTGTGAGTGCTATCTTGCTAGACTGACATAAGAAGAAACACCAGAATATAGAATGATGTGTAAGTCAGGGATGCATTTATGACTTCTGAAAGGAAAATGAGATGGTTATTGGAACAAAATAGGACCAGAAGTAAAATGGGTTTTGAGGAGAATAATTCCTGTGAAGAAAGAAGGTTGGAATTCCAAACAGGAAGGCAGTTCAGTCTTCAGGCTGACTTAAAAAAAAAAAAAAAAAATTAAGAAACTGGGTAAAAATTGAAATGGACAAAGGGAAGGACAGTGAAGACAGTAAGTTGAAAATGTTTTTGTCTTAATTTTTCTTTTACTTGGTGAAAATGTGAAATGCCCTGCGATTAGTTTCTCTGAGTTCTGCTGAGTTGTGTCATTTAATTCTTTCTGTGGTTCCAGAGCTCTATCAGCCAGCAACCTACCAGGTGTCAGAAGATGGCTCATTTGAAATTGTGGATGAGAAGAGTGCAGATAAGGTAAAAAGCATATAAAGAACACAATCAATGAAGTAAAGATAGTTTTGGACACTGCTGAGCCCTCAAACTGAGCATATTGATTGATATTTAGAAATCCTTCGTTACTGGAAAGAGAATGCCCAGATATTTCACTTGTAGTTTTACTATTTGCAAAGGATGCCCAGCTTCCAGAAAAGATTTTTTACTGCACACCTGAAACTGTTGTTATAATAAACTGTCTTTCCTGCACCAAACTTAAATAGATCCAGTAAAGGACTTCTAAATTAATCAACAATAAAGGAATTGATTTCATTAAGACCGAAATAGACTCCTCTGCATTCACTTTCTTTTGGCCCTCTAGTGAGGGCTAGATTTTGCTCTACAGCAGTATCACCCAGTGCAATAAAACATATCTGTCTCAATGAATAAATTGTGTTTTCTTAGTAGTAACAATATTTATTTCATTAAAATATACAGATCTGGAGGCACTTTACAAAAACTCAGTAGCCTTTTGTATCTAATCTCTCCCCTTTTACCTGTGCAATGTGACTAATGCTACAGCTGAACTTGAGCTGGGGCTTTTTCTCTGTTTCCAGAGTGGCACTCATGGAATCACAGAGGAACATTCCTGTAGTGCAGTAAGGTGGAGTGCTGAGGTTTATAACTCTGTAGGGCATAGAAGAAATGAATGCAGGCAAGAGGGATTTCCCAGCAGGAAGCGGGGGGTTTAGCCGCTGGGAATAAAATTAGGCCAGAGAGCTTTAAAGAAGAAAAGAGTTTCTAAAAAGAGTGGTGCAGATAAAATACTCAAGTACTGAATATAGGAGGAACAAGTGACTTAAGGGGCTGGAGGTGTTTTGAAAGTATCCCACAAGACTGAAATTTCATGGCTCACTTTTAGCACCTTTTCCCTAATCAGAAACGCTTCACTGAAGGAGGCAAATTTTTGTATCCTTGACCTATTCCCAGTTGAATGTGGAAAGCTGTGTAGCTGTACATGTTTTGCTAGGCAAAATACATGTTTTGTAACCTAGTAAGTTTGGTTATCAGTTGTTTTTCTGGAAGCTTGCTGGAATTTTTTGCCAGGCTCAGTACCATATACATACTCTTTTGCTTTTAGGTGCCCTGGATCCCCCTGGACCCCTTGAACCCAAATCTGGAACAATATCCAGAGTATGCTAAGGCAAAACCTTTGCAGTGTACAGTGAAAGCTGGTGAGATGTTATACCTACCTTCTCTCTGGTTCCATCATGTTCAGCAATCACATGGCTGTATAGCAGGTAAAATACACAGTATTTCCAGATACATTTTTGAACTGTGGTGGGTGTGCCGCTAGATATCCCACAGCAAAGCGTAATGGGGACCAAAGGTCCATTTAAGATCATCTACCTCTCCTCAGGAGGAAATAACAATCTTGGCAGATGGCATGGGGCTACCTCCTTGCAGTCTGTTTTGCTTCTAATTCATATCATTGTTGACAATTGCTAGGGATGTAGCAGAAGAAAAAGTCTTTCTAGTTGTCAAGTCTGGAGAAGGATAGCTAATTCAGTGATCACGATCCAGTTTATGACATGGAGCTAAGCAGTGTGTCTGCCTAGCTTGCTAACTGCAAATTGGTCATCTACATACCTTTCACAAAGAAACTGCAAGTTGTGTGTGCCGTTATCACACCAGCAAAAAAGGATCTGGGGGAAGAAAAGGAAACCAGAAAGTGTACGAGTTTTAGGCATGGATGTAGACACAACATGGAAGATACTCTGTTGTCATGCGAGCTGGAATCTGCTCTGACCCAGTCTCTTACCTTGCTAATAAGCCTATGCTTGTGTTACTGTTTCCCTGCACTTATCAAGAGTCTTGTTATCTCCTTCTTTGTAAGGTCGATCATAATCTCTCTCTTTTTTTTTTTCCTTCCCCAAGAGAGTTCCAGAATTTCAAGCATTGCTCATTTGGTGCAGGTGGAGGGGTGGGGGTGGTGCAAAGTATTATCATTATGTCATGTAAGTTTTGCAAGGTTTGAGGAAGAGTTTTTTGCTGTCCTTTACCCAGGGTAATCCTGTCTGTGCAGTAAGAGTAAACACGGTATTTTGAACAATGTAACATTAGTGTTTGTACAACACTGCAAATATTGCAAGCTCTTTTTTTTCAGTATTTTTGATACTGTGATAGAAAGACAAGCTAGCAGTAAAGCAGTATTTCTGATTCTCTTTTCCCAGTACTGCTGCAGCAGTCCTTAAATATCTTTTAGAAAAAGTAGAGTTGTTTCCAGTTGCAAGCCCCCGGCCACTCTCTTTTTCTCTGTCTAGCAGAAATGCGGGAGAGCTGATGAGTTTATTTGGCCTTTAGTCTGTTAACTGCACTACAGTCTGTATACACTTGAGAAATCAATATTCTCTGGGTCTGGTCCAGTGAATGTCTGAAGCTAGAGTATATCCTCTTCCAAGAACCATTCGTACAATACTATACTGCTTGGCTTATTTTTTCTAGGAGATGTACACCAAAATTAAAAAGAGAAGCAGAATTAAAGCATTGTCTAATTGATGACCTTGTGAAGTAGTGGTGAATTTGCCATCCTTTACACACTCAGAGGAAGAGAGGTTCCTATCCAGATATTAAACTTTGCAGCATATTTGTTATTTTTGGTCTAAACAGAAGCATACATTTTCTGTTCCTAAACATTTTGCCACCTTCTGCTCCAAGGAATCCCCAGTACAGAGTCTGAAGAGGAGTTGGCTTGGGTTAAGACAGATTTGCATTGGCAGCAGTGTTAAAGAACTCTAATGTTTTCTTATGTTATTTTTGGCTGTAGTCAAAGATGTGCTTGTTTCAAAGTTCAGTCAGTAATAAGGAAAAGCCTGTACTAGCTGAACTGTGTAAAACAGTCTATGAACATGTTTGTAAATCATTACATTCTAGCCTTAGAAAAGTTCTTCCTTTTTCTTGTCTCCTCAGTGAATTATTGGTATGACATGGAATATGACCTTAAGTACAGCTATTATCAACTATTAGATTGTCTCACAAAAACCGTGAAGGTGTTATAGCAGAGGTGGGAGACTCGAGCTTGTGATTCTCTCTGATGTGATACAATCATCAGCACCTGTGACTGGAGTACAAACATGACTGAAGTGAAAAGAACCGAACATTAAATTGTCCTCAGCAATGTCTGTCAAACAGATCATGGCTATTTTGCTTGATTCCAGAGTCCAGATCGATTGGCCAGATTTTTTGGCTTGTAAGTAGAAGGTTTGATAATAGCATTTTTAGGTCTTTGCGTGTTGCCTCAGTGACAGTGAGCAAAATAAAATTTGAAGGGAGGCAATCCAGGTTTTGGAAATCCCAAAACAGAAGCCGTGACTGTTTGTTCAGATCTACAGATTGTTTTCTTAACAACCCAAGTGGACAAGGAAAAATGTGCTCTGTCACCCACCTGTGCATCAGGCTGCATCAGTCCAACACATGCATTCCGCTTAAGGTGAAAGTACTGTCCAGTTGTAATTCACTAAGTTCAGTGGCTGTGGTGTTTTGGTGGTGAGAAATTGCAACTTCTGCAATAAAAGGTCAGTTTAAAAGCTTATTTCTGTACTAATTCCTTACTTTTTTTCAAATGATGTGATGGGTGGAGGACATCTAGGAGGACATGCAAAAGTCAGCACTGGCTATTTTCCACGTTAAGATACATGTTTTTATTGCTGGGGTTTATTTGTTTCCACTGTTGTATTTAAATGTAGCCACATTCTTTTACATCCTGAGTGGTGATTTTAGAGTTGCTTTGCCAGATCTACAGTCAATCTGCATGTCACCGGTGGTCTCGTGGCATGACATGTGATTCTGGAGCTTTGTAGGCTCATTGATTGTTTCATTCCTTTGCCATTAATTGCTGCCTAACACATGGTCAGGTGAGTTGTGTGAACCCAGAGCCTATTTCTGCAGCCTTAATTCCTATTTCTATTTCCACAGAACAGGATGAGACTACTCACATGTCTGAGACCTGCAGGGTAGGACTAGAAGGCTACTAAATACACGAACATTGCAAAAATGTAGTAGTGTTTTTATCAAAACCAAAACCTGGTATTTATCATCAAATCTTCAAACAGTTCCTTAGAAACATTAGTGATAGGGGGGGAATTTATTTTCCATATATTAATTAGGAAAACACAGATATCCTTTAGACAAGATTGATTATTGTGAAGAAAAATAGAATAATTCTTTTACCTTGTCTGTTTGTTTTGTTTTTTAAAGAAACATTGTTAAAGCATAAAGCACCATTTTACCTTGTGGTGCTTGTCCAAAAATTGCTGAAAACTCAGGAGGGATTAAGGGCAGGCTTTGTTTCACTGCTAGATTAAGATGTCATGTTACTTCAGGCTTTCCAGCTTGTTTGTATTCACTGTGCCTTGGCAAAGGCGCCTGAGGCAGTTCTGCAGTCAAATCCGGACTTTCCCACAGTCGGGGGTGGGAGGAAGGTGATTTGAATATCTCTTTCTGTCAGTTTGCGGTTTTTAATTCAGTCTCTCTCTGTAATCAAAAGTAAGACCGCACGCCGGGAACAGATGCCGTCCTGTGCCTGTGCGAGTGGATGGTGTTGCTGTACCACCGCTGAGCCGAGTGTCTGGAGAGAGGCGTGCTCCGAACTACGCCTCCCAGCAGCCCGTGCCTGCTGACTGAAGGAAGTAGTCACGGTGGTTCCTCTTGGACTTTGGGCAGAGATTTGAAGCCTGAGAAGCGACAGGCTCCCGACGGTCCTGTTTCAGGCAGCCCGTGCCTCGCCACAAAAAAGGGCAGCTCCTCTCCCCTCCGGCAGAGCCGGGATGGCGGTGCAGGTGATGGTTCTGCCTTCCCCCCGCTGTCTATTCGATGACCCCGTGCAGATCCGTGTGGTGGGTCTCCTGCCGCAGCAGGCGGTCACCCTCCGAGTCAGCCTGGTGGACGAGAGCGGGGAGCTTTTCCAAGCCCATGCTCACTACAGAGCTGGGAGCAGTGGGGAGCTTGACCTCAGCCGCTCCCCAGCGCTGGGGGGCAGCTATTCGGGAGTGGAGCCGATGGGGCTGCTGTGGTCTCTGCAGTCTAAAGCGCCCTATAAGCGGCTGGCGAAGAGGAACGTCCTAACCCCTTTCTGTGTGGACCTGGAAGTGTATGAGGGCCACGGGGACATGAGCCACTTGCTGGGAAAATGCACCAATGAACGATGGTTTTTAGGAGAGGGGGTGAAGAGGATTTCAGTCAGAGAAGGTCACCTGAAAGCAACCCTCTTCCTCCCTCCTGGTGAGTTTTAATTCTGTTCTGGTTTTCCAGGTGTGACTTACACCGCGTATTCTGCCCTGTGGCCCCTGGCTGCGCTTGGCAGCCCAGAGCAAAGCCTCAGCTGATGGTTCCCTCAGCCTGTGCTTGGTCCAGATACTTGGATCCTCACAGCTGAGCAGGGAGGAGCAGATGTTGCCCAGGCAGGTCAAGTGCCGAGGCGGGAGGGTGCAGGGAGGGCATGTCTCCTCTTTGTTCTAGCTGAGGGGGGTCAGGACTGCTCCTGCGGTGAGAGCTTTGGGGAAATGTGTGTTTATTTCTTAGCTCCTCTGTTTAGCTGACAGGACAAAGAGGCCTCTGGTCTTTGGCAGAGCTGTGAGGCGGGACAGGTCTGGCCGTGGAGTGAGGAATGACGAGGCATGGTGGGAGCACTGGACTCTGGCTGCAGCCAGCCTAGGCTGCTCTAACAGCTGCGACAGATCTTCCTGCAGGCTCTGGACTTGTCTCTCTGTCTCTCTCTTTGGCCAAGGAAAAGCCAAAGGAAGAAGTCTCTACCTGGTTGAGCAGCTTGACTGCACAGGATACTTACGAAGATGGGAGACAAATGAGAAGAGCAAGGTCTTTAATTAAACAGGCATCATATTCCACAGCTCCATACAGAGATGGTGCTGAGGCTGAGTCCTGTGTAAAGCTGCTCTGAGCCCTGAGCTGTTTATGTTCCTTGAGCAGTACTTAAACATGAATATCTTGCTCTGTAATGAATAAAAAGTCCCTTGCAGCTGCTGTGACACCAAATCTTGTAAGGGAAGTCTGGCTATAAGAATGGGCAGAGCAGCAGCAGGAAAGGAAGGTCCTGTGACTGCAGGAGGAGAACTGAGAAGCCCAGGGGTAATTACCCAGATCATACTGAAGCCTGAATTGGCCTAAGTCAGCGCTGGCATTTGTGGGTGCAATTCATAACCCGAGTATTCCCTCCCTGGAATACCTGCTAGCACAGTTGTTAAAGAAGCTCATGTGGCTGTACTGTTTGTTCATCAATCCCCAATGGCCTGAGAACATCTAGGCCAATGTCAGCTGAAATTCATGGTGGGAGAAGGATGCCCAACATGTGAACTTCCTATGATGAGTTCCTAAGAGAGAGAAGAAATATCCAAATTAGTGTCTTTACAGTGATTGTGTGTGTCCTGAAGGGACAACTAGAAACTTTTCCCTTTGAGCATATATATATATATATATACACACACACACACACCCCTTTCATTGCAGGACCGGGTCCGTTCCCTGGACTTATTGATTTGTATGGATCTGGAGGAGGTCTTGTTGAATACAGAGCAAGTCTCTTGGCTAGCAGAGGCTTTGTGACTCTGGCTCTTGCTTACATGGCCTTTGAAGATCTCCCTGCTATGCCAGAGATTCTTGAACTGGGCTATTTTGAGGAAGCTGTGAACTTCTTGCGGAAGCAGCAGCAGGTAAGAGACAAACTATGGTGCTCTTCCTGTTGGAAACTATTTCCCAGATTTCTAATTGGAATGCTATATGTCATTGAATGCAACTAAGTTTCTGAGGTGTTCTAAGGAGACAGCATTGTCTGAAAGACAGCATGATCTGAGAGATGGAAAAGCATGTGCCTCAACTCATATTTTGCAAGTAGTTGGATAGCTGATTTTGCACAGCATCTTATAACAGTCCATAAACTGTTGTGTAAACCAGTGTTTGTTTAAGACTAAATCAGAGCAGTTCCTGGACTAGAAGCACAAAACTGCTTAAGCAGGAAATGTTAATTTTTTTTCCCTACTTTTGCATCTTTCAAGATTTTAGAAGGCAAAAAAATCCATTGACTTTTTCTACTATTTCTGAGATGCTACAAGCTTTTGATTCTGAGTAAGTTTCACAAGACAGTAATGAAACACTTTAACAACGGAATCCCTTACAGTTGTAGCACTAGAGAGTGTGCCATGTCTTAAGAAGCTGGGGCTGTATTTGAACAAGTACGTGGGATGAGAAAGATGCTTTATAGCAATATATCATCATACCAAGAGAAAGAGACCAAAAGAAATCAAGTAGCATTTAAACTTTGAATGGAATGCTACTTAATGTGGTATTCGTTTCACAAAGTGACTTATTTTCTAGCACGTGGATACCAGGAATGTAGCCGGTGTGAGAGCAGAATTCAGCCTTGCTTGTTTGTCTTGTTCCTCATAGAGCTCTGAAACTTCCAGAGTATCTTACAAGACACACATTACAAAATTAATTTGGTGTGAAGAGCCTTCACTACAAATAAGTTGATTTAAACAGTTATTGGGCTTACTCAGCCTCAGGTGTGATTAACCTTATGTGTTCCAAGGCAAAACAGAAGATAACAGGTCAGCTATAGAAGAGTATCAAAAAACAATGGTATGAAAAAAATCAATGCAAGTAAACCCATGAAACCCATGAAAATGTGGTTTTCCAAATGGAGCCTGAGGAGAGAAGATCGAGGGGGTTTGGAGACAGGAGCAGTAAAAGATACAATACTGAGAGCAAACGTCTAGCCAAGATGTGGAGGGAGCAAAGAGGCTTTGTCTACAGAGGTCACCAGGGACAAAAAGTGTTACAGGAGGAGAAATATTGGGGAGCTGCAGAATTCATAGTTGCTCTTGTGGAGGCTCAGCAAAGGTATGGATATGGGAGTGATATAAACTGAACAGAGAGAGGGAAGGGGTAAAATATGGGTGGTCTTAGTTGGATGAAGAGTGAGGAAGCAGAACTGGAGATGTTATGTCAGCCCAGGAAGCGAGGAGTGGTTGATAATAGTTGTTTTCATAACTGTGTTTCAGGTGAAAGATACTGGAATTGGCGTTTTGGGCTTGTCTAAAGGAGCTGATCTAGCCCTTTCCATGGCCACATTTCTACCTGGCATCAAGGCAGCTGTCAGCATATCTGGAAGTGGTTTTAATTCTTTCATTCCCCTGCGGGGGGATGGCTTCACTCTTCCTGCCCACCCGTATGATTTGGGGAGGATGAAGACCAGTGACGAGTCTGACCTAGTAGATTTTTCAGATGTCCTACATGATCACAGGGACCCAGCAACTTGGGATTGTCGCATTCCTGTGGAAAGGTCCTTGGCCAAGTTCCTCTTCCTGTCTGGACTGGATGACAGGAACTGGAAAAGTGACCTCTATTGCCAGGATGCTGTTCAGCGCCTTCAGCAGCATGGACGGGAAGTGGAATTTTGCTCCTATTCTGGAGCAGGACACCTCTTGGAGCCACCATACTTGCCTCTGTGCCAGGCTTCGATCCACAAAGTGCTTGGGATGTTTGTGTATTGGGGAGGGCAGTGGAGGGAGCATGCCAAAGCCCAAGAAGATGCATGGCGCAGGATACAGGCCTTTTTCTGGCAACACTTAATGGACTCAGACATCCCTAAGAGCAAGCTGTAGTGGAAGCTGTCAAAGATGCTGACCAGGTTTGGTATTTCAGCTCTCACTGAATCTTGGAAACTCATCAAAAGTTTCCTGGCCTGCCTTCCTCTAAACCCCACTGTTGCATTGTTGTTTATTTTCGTTCCCCAAACAATTTTGCATTTTTTAGTTGAATTTTAGGTGTCTTCTGGCCCCAGCTGTACTGTAGCTTGGCACCATCTGATCTGTGTGTGTGCTGTAGTCATCTGAGAAAAAAACAGCATCCCATCACGTGGATTGTGTTTGTACTGAGCTATCTTTGCCCTCAATCTCCAACCATCTCCTTTCATAGCAGGGAATACTGTCACAGGAGGAGTTTTTCATTGAATTGTTTAGTCTTGCGCCTTTAACTAACCTAGATGTAAACAGCACTTTCTTGGGACAACACATTAGCACACCCACCTTTCCTCTTGGTATATAATTTTCTCACATTTCTTAGTAAAAAGGTTGCGGCAGTTCTGATCTCAACTAAGTAAAGAGGCACTCTTCCGACTTATTCTGAAGTGCAGTGATAACTTTTTTTTCCTGGTACCTCAAAAAACAGAAGAAGCGAATCTTACCCAAGTTACACTGGTTGTATCTCCTGCTGACTCCAGATAAGTTACATATCAGGATAAAGTTTCCACTGTACTGCTCAATAAATGCAATGTGGATGTGTGTATGCACAGTTTACTTGAAATTATCTCAATGAAGCCTTCGACTGTCTTTATGCCTATAAATACATAGGCTCAATCCTGATGTAGTCACAAGCTGTCACTTCACCTGGCTGAAATGTTTATATACAGAAGTCCTTACCTCCTGGTGGTAAGAGGAGTTGTGGAGTTTGCAGTAGGGGGTCCGCACAGTGCTCAAGATGGGGGTGATATAGATGTGCTAAGTACCTGCTTTTGAATATTGAAAGTCAGTTTATCCCCATTTTGGGGAGGACGAATAAAGCCACTGCTGCTGCTGAGTTTCCAGGAGCCCTGTGGAGTGGGCCGTCTCAGTGGTCTTGCCACTATAGCAGACAGCTGTGGGCTCAGTGACAGCTAGGAAATGCCACTCTTGAGAGAGGACTGACCTTGCCTTCTGGGGAGAATGTGCATTATCTCATCCTCTACTGAGGTCCAAACCTGCCAAGGACAGCTGTGATCTACTTCATGCTTTTGTGGGATAGTGGCAAACAGCAGCTTGATGGCATTTTCTAGATATCGAATGGCATCGCCTGAGCAGATTTTGCCTCCTGGAGCAGTCAGGGCTCCCATTCTGACCACAGAAGCAAGCAGGAGCTGGAGGTCTCTGCCTTTCACTGAGGCAGCAAAATCTTGCCTTTAAGAGAGCAGTAGTGCCTGGTTTCCAATTCCTGCTGAGACGTGAGCGTTGCAGGAGCCTGGACCCTTCTGAGGGCAGAACCATGCTCTCAGTTTTCTTGCTTCAGGGAGCAATGGCTACTCAAAATGAGCATGTTGGGCCTTAAAGGGCTATAGACTCACTCACGCAACACAACACATCCAATGCAGAGTGTACCCACCCCTTCAGGTACTTGCAATTTTCCTGCCCCAGCCATTCCTCAGAATGGTAGATGGGTACCACTTAGCTCACGGTGTGAGCGGTTGGAGTGGGGAGGTCTCCCTCCTGCTCACCTGTACTGGTCATCTATCAAGTTTTATGCTATTACCTCTTCTTCATTTCTGTTTGTCCCCTGTGTATCTATGATGTCCTGCATGGACTGTTCCAGATGTTTAGTCAGCGGGTAGGACCTGGCAGAAGAGCGACGTGTAGCAACAAGGGAAGTCAAATACATTTAAGCAGTTCAATCTGAGTAAGGGACATTTTATTTTCCCTCATTTTCCTATTTTATTGAAGCAGTCAAAAAAACCTGGGTTTTCGATCCACATTTTCCTCAGACTCAGCACTGGGCTGTGAGTTTCTCTGTGGTATGAGTAATTTTCATTTGTTTTTACTGAACGCAGTGAGGTTTATGCAGTGCAGTGTGTTGTTCTCCAGCCTGTGGGATAACTTCCACCTATTTTAATTCCTTCTGAGGGAAAGACAACTTCTCAGCCTTCAGTGGGCAGTTTACAGAGCTATACTTTGAATTACAAAATTGTGAGCTTCTGAGAAAATACATTATCTATAGGAAACTACCATTAGAAGGAAAAGTACTTTCCATCAGTAAATCAACAATATCATCAGTGATGCTTTCATACAGTCTGTTATGTTGTCACATTCAGCAACCAGGTTCAAAGAAAACAGTGTTGAAACTAGAGGATGAAGGGAGCTGACTGATGACTCCACTGATGACAATAGCACATAGGTCCTTCTTGTTTTGTTGCTCTGGAATGAAAGCTTTGCTACCCAGTTAAAAGCCCTTTATTTATCACTTGGATGGCAGCTGGCAAGAAAGACTGAAAAACCTGATTTAGCTGAGCAGCTCTGTGGCATATACAAACAGGAAAATATAAAGGCATACATATATACAGGCATATACAAACAGGCCAGCCAACTCAGTTGCAGTGGGAATTCTTTATAAGTCAGCTGGCCTTTTAAAATTAAACTCAAGTTTGAAACTTACTTTCAGGAAACAGAAACTGGAAATTGGAGGGAGACTAATATAAAATAATTGGAAATGGCCTAACTTCAATAAAATGGTTGTGTATGTTGTTAAGCAGGTTCTTCAGCATTTTGCTGAAGACTTCGACTACTTAATGTTTCTTCTGCTGAAGAGATGATTTAGGCAAATGGGGCTAAGCTCACATTTTTTTCCAAGTTAGTGGCAAAAATTCTACCAACTGCAGCCTGTAGAGTCAGGGCACTTTATATAGTTTGTCCAGGCTTACAGAGTACAGACAACATTATTCAAGAACAATGTGAAAATTATTATTTAATTAAACATAATTGACCTTTAGCTGCAAAAGAGAGCCTATGCCAAGTGTGACTGAAAAAACTAACAAAAATTGGATGGGGAAAGCTATTCTTACAATCTGCTTGTAACTGAAAAGTGCTTCAGATAAAATAGAGCATCAAAGTACTAGCTTGAACTGGAAGATCTTGGCTTGATGCTAACATCAATCATCCCTTTGTTTAGCGCTTTGTGCTACATTTCTATTAGAAGAATGAGAATAAGAAAAGTTGTGACAAGTCTCTTAAGAAACTGAGAAACAATGTCCCCACATGTAAGCTGCTATGAACAAATCTATTATAAGCGAACAGTACATCTTGCAGTGCTCTTTTGGGGCAGGATGATTTCCCTAGCTATTTTGGAATCAGGCAACAATAGAGATTGCTGGTTTGCCAGTGCATTCTTAAAATTTTCCTTCTTTGCTCTGGTTCAGCTTGTGATCTCTCTATGTAGAAAGGAGACTACCCCAAAAAGAAGAGAACTGGTGTGAAAAAGCATGTCCTTGAGTGGAATGTCTCTAAACTCTAGCTTTACTGCCTAGACCCCATGAACCTAAGATAATCTGGGTGAATGCCATCTAAGTTATATGAAGCATATATAGCTTATTATTTTAGATTAGGTGTCCCTGAAGCAGGCCACAGGTTATTTGCACACTGTGAGACCTTTGGACACAGCTTATCCTTTTCATTGTGGGCTTTCTGTATCACAATGCAGGTATGTTCTTCACATAGCTCCATCCTGCTGTCCTATCTACTCAGTAAGCCCTCATGAAAAGCTCCAGGGTCTCCGAACTGGAAACATTTGGGCACTGCGTGGAGCAATGATGTCCTCTGTACTTCTCAAGGCTTCTTGAAAAAGCTTATGGGGTTCTTTCCCCATACTTCGCCATGTGTGTTGTTAGGCTGTGTATAGCTGCGGAAGAAAGAAGTTCTCGATGTTCTTTACCAGAGACCTAGAAGTACCAGGTCCAGTCAGGTATTGAATTGAACACAGGCTAAAGCTGATCCAGAAGCATTTTGATACATGTACAGTATAACTTGGAGGAAACTGCAGAATGAAAGTAGTCAAAATGCCTTTATTGGAGAAAAGTGAACCACAGGTACAGAAGATGTGAAACATCATTGAGAAAGTAGCTATACATTGAGCACTGTGCCTCTCTAGAAGTAGTGGGTATTTGAGGCTTCAGTGGAATTTTACTATAGACTGTGCTGAACAAGGAGATTTCAGTGCAAATGTGCTCCTGTAACACTAGTAGCTTCTTACCCAGGAGAAGCAGTGTCTCTGGATGGCTTCTGCAAGCAAGGTTGTTTCACGGCCACAGGACAGAAGGAATGAAGTGAAAGATGAGAATATACATTGTGCAGTGTAATTTAGAAGTGACCTTTCTCCATTCCCTGTTTCTGTTTCCTGTGTGTATTTGGAAGTCTGAAGATGATTTTTTTTTTTTTTAATTCAGAACTTACTCAGTTCTCTGATACATTACCAGATCAGTTGTTATCAAGCTGTGGGATAAGACCACCATTTAATGACAAAATAAAAATAGTAAAAAGTTTTGCTATATTAGTATTTTGCTAAGAAATTTATAATTCTACCATTTCAGAAAAAAAATCACTTTTCTGCACTTTTTAGTGCTCCATACATGTCATTCAGAAATGGAATCTGAGCCAAATGCATTAAGCGCAGAGAAGGTGATACTTCATTTGAAGTTTGGCTAGAAGGAAAATTAATGTTTCCGATGAACTAATGCTCCTTGCAGCATTTACTGCAAAATATCACTGCCATTTGTCATTGTCCAGGACAAAAAATAGAAATGCTAAAACTCATTGTTTTTCATAGTCTTAAAAAGTTGTCCATGCAAAATTTACATTAAACCTAAAAATGCCTGGGCCCTGACTCTAGATAGCACTTAGAGAAAAGTAATTAAATGAGTTACATTCTGTTAATTTAGGCTTGTATCTTTACAGTGACTTAAGCCACTGAACATTTAACATCTTGCATTTAGACTGTAAATTTATGTCTGCATTAAAGTCACTTTAGTGAAAGGTATGGGTTTATGCTCCAGTTTAACTATTCTAAGAATACCTTGCTGCCCAAAGGA